AGATATAATTGATAGTGTTATATATTATTGGGAAAGTAATCATCAAGAACAGTTTTGTGGTAGTATAAAAGAAGAAGAATAAAAATAAGAAGAAGAGAATTTTGAGCAACAACATGGACTCGTCGTCATCGTCGTTGTCGTCGTCGTCAGCAACCTTTTGTGTTCCTTCGGACCATCGTCCGTCCATTTCTTCTTCGAACTCGCATTAACGTTAAAACAATTAAACGCGCAAATTTTTGTATTATTCTCTGGAATTTTTAATATCTCTCTTTCTCTCTCTCTCGAAAGAAAAAAGAAGGGGATGAAAAATCATAGCATTACAATAATCTCAACGTTCGTTTAATAAATATTAAAAATCAACGAAAAACAAAAGACGAAAAAGAGAAAGAGAAAGAGAAAGAGAGAGGGTTAACAAACCCAACCCAAACTCACCACCCTATCAACCAATCCAACCCTCTGAAAATAATAAACAAATCTGTGTTGGTTAACACGAAATGGATGCTCTGCGTGCGCGAGTGATTTGGACATTTCGTAGATACGTTTAATATTGTATTTGTTCGTAATCTACAAAAAAAGTGAAAGATACAAAATTTTTATTTTGAATTTATAAGTAAAAGAAAAAGGAAGAAGAGAAAGTAATCAAGAAAAATAGAAACTACTGTAAGAGAGAAGAGAGAAAGAGAATAAGAGAAACAAAGAGAGAGAAAGAGAAAATATACAATTATCGTATTGATGAAAGAGAAAATTAAGGGAAAGAAAAATCTAACGTTTGATTATTTCATTCGATTATCGTCCAATAAGATTTTGTGATTGATCTGAAAGGGCGCGTGTTTTCTCCTGTGTTCGTTTCCCCCACCACTTTCACTACCACTACCACCACCACCACCTTCTCCTTCTTCCACCCTCTCTCTTTCTCTCTCTTTCTCTCACGTACACACGCTCATTAACTTTCCTACTAATAAATTTAAACGAAGAGAGAGAGAGAATTTGATTTATATCAATACATATATAATATTTGAAATATAAAATTAGAAGGGGAAGGAAAATATTAAAAGAAATAAGAAAAATATAATACGATCGTGGAATTATATAAATTGAGAACATCTCGATCGAATATTATTATTATTATTATTAATTAATATTAGATATCGTGCCAAATTGATTTCATTAAATAATTAATATTAACGACAAATTTAATATACATCGTTCATCGAAACGAAATCTTTGATAATAAGACTTTTGAAAGCAAAAAAAAAAAGAAGAAAAAGAAGAGGAGGATTATATTAAAACTACCCTCCCTCTGACACACACCCTAACGCTCAACCCTCGTACCTGTACAGCATAATTATGTTTGTTTAATTGTCTACTAAAAATAATAATTTGTGCCTGACGTATCAACTGTTGGAAATTTTTGGCACTAATTTGTTCGTGGCCTCACTTGCCAAACCCTCGCAACACCCCACCCCTTTTTGTTGCTATCTTGTTTGAAAAGAAATTGGTAGAAAGGTTAGAAACCTACACACAGAGAAAAAAGGGCAAAAGGAAAAGGGAAAGAATTCGTACGATCATCTTTCCTTGTTTCTTCTTCATAACCGTTCTTGCGCATTGCGCAATATTTCCGTTAAAGCAACGCGATAAAGGAAGAGGAAGAAAAGTAGTAGTGGTGGTAGTAGGGGGGTTGGTTTGCTGCTAAATTAGAGAATAAGGGTTTGAGAAGAAAAAATAGAAAAGTTGGAGGAGAAAGTGGAAAAGGAAGAAGAGGAACATTCGTTTTAAAATAAAACTGTTAGAATAAAAATAAAGAAAGAAACAGGAGAGGGTAGGAAGGAAGGAAGGAAATAATTGAAAAAAAACAAATGAACGTTCAATAATAATAATAATAAGAAGAAGGAGAAGGGTGGATATAATCTGAAAGAAATTTAAAAAAAAAAAGAACAAAAAATAATTCGCGACTGAAGCTTACATTTGTAAAAGTTGTGAAGAAAATAAGAGAATATAAAATAAAGTAAGAAGATATAAACGTCGATGAAGTAGAGGGTGGTAGGATTAAATCTGAACCAAACAAACAAAACAAACAAAATTAGAAAAAAATAAATAAATAAAAGAGAATAAAAAGAAGAAGAAAAATATCTTAATTCGCGACTGAGACTGCAATCGAGAAAGTTAACTTTTTTTCCCCAACTGAGACTGTCGTCGTGTTCCATCCATTTAAAACACTTATTAAATAATTAATTAATTAAATAATTAATTACTGCTACATATATATACATATATAAATCTCTGATCAATTTTGAATACACGTGATCTACGTGAGACAAACGTGAGAATATAAATGATGAAAACAAATAAACAATAAAAAAGGAAAAATAAGAAGAAGAAGAAGAAGGAAAAGTAAAAATAAAAGTGGAAGAAGAAGATATTGTTTAAGAGATTATAAAAATTTAAGTCAACGATCCTTTTACATTTTGTATACCAATATTTTATGAGAAACTAAATAATAACATTAAAAAAAAACAAAAAAAAAAGGAATAAATACCGTAAGCGTGAAAATATAATCAAAATAAATGGGAGAAAAATTCTTTCGTCTATCGATTGAAATCGTCGACATCGTACGAGAATAATAATAGTAAAAAAA